TTCACAGCGGTCCTTGGGCCGTGGTAGCGAGGGCCACGTGGCCACTTGTGCACCAGAGGCTGAAGCCACCAGCAGGCGTCCGTCCCGGGGACTGGTCCCCGCGTGGAAGGCACGGAGGGAGAGGTGCCCAGCTGCTCCCCGGCTTCCCGTCCTCCGCACGCAGCACCCCTTCCGGTAACACCCCTTCGCCGCCGGCTGCAGAGCCCCGCCCGCTCCGCGTGGGTCTGGCCCAAGCCCCCTTCCACCTGAGCTCTGGGCTGCCCCCAGCGGGAAGACGGCTTTGGCAGAGCCAGTCACTCTGAGGTCACTTCAGGAAAGCGAGTCACGGGGGCTTGAGAGAGTCCCAGGATCCTGCACTGGGGGAGGGGCAGCAGGCTTCCTTCCTGTGTTTGCAGTAGCTCTGGGGACCCACGCTCTGTGACGGCCTCTGTCCGGGCGCCTGACCCACACTGAGCAGGGGCGAGAGCCAGAGGGCATGGCACGGGGGTCCCGGTGCCGGCTCCGGTCCCGCCGCTGTGGTCGCAGGAACCCCCAGCCTCACAGAGTCTGACCTGGAGACTCTCAGTGGGCCCTCGTCTGCTCTGTCCGGGAACCCTCCCTGGAGCCCCCTCCCCCACACCGTGGAAAGACATTTGGTCTTAATCATTGTGGTGTGTTTTTCCGATGATGGGGGCTGAGGGGGATGGTGTCCCCGGTGGCAGCCGAGCGGCCAGCCCAGACGAGAGGCAAACAACCCATGACTCAGGCGGGGCACGGCACAGCTGTGACCCGGGGGGCGGCTCCCGGCCGAGGCCCCCCATTTGCCAGCTCGGCCTCGGCTCCCGGGGCTGCACCGCTGACCGAGGCGAGGCGTCTCGTCCCACGCTCCCCGAAAGAGCAAACCAAGGGCACGGACCTAAACACCCTGCTGGCAGGTCGGGGAGGCCCCTGTCCCCCCTCAGCCCTGGGGTGAGCCCCATCACGAGCGATTATAACCACATTTCAAACCACAACGTTATACAAATTAGTAGTTTATTTGGCTTTTTAGTAGGACCGTTCCAAAGTTTAACTGGAAGACGAGCACAGAAGCTGCAGAGACATGAAGGAAAGTCACCTGCCAGCAGCCCCCCTGCCGGCACACCCCCTCCCGCCCCAGGCACCCGGGGAAGACCACGCGGCACGAAGCCAAGGGTGGGGATTTGTGCAATACACACGTTTAGCTTCCAAAAGGAAAACGCGCTGGCTATCTGCCTAGAATATTTCCTATATGGGTACAATGGAGGAGAATCCAGTCTCGGTCCAGCCCCAGCGGGTGCTGGACGGATGTCCGCATGGCCGCAAGGGACCAGGGAGGTGCCACCCGGGGAAGCAGCCCCAGCATGAGCCAGAGGCGGGATGCCCGGGGCCCGGGAGTGGGGAGCCACGTCGTGCTCAGGTTTATACAGAAATACGGGGAGCCGTACGCAAGACTCGTTATATAAAATAGATGTACGTCACCTAGAAAAACCTCGATACAAAGTCTATAAAAATATAAACTGTAGTGAAAAAATATACAAAAGTATTAACATGTTCAACCCACGAAACAAAAACACATCCACGTGCAAGCCGGCAGGTGCCCCCCCAACACGTTGAGGGAATCCCCTTGGCCACGGTACACGCGTTTGGGCAAGAAGTGTCGCCACGAGACCCAGCCTGCAGGGGCCCCGGGCCGGTGCTGAGGCCGCCCCGTCGGGACGCTGCCCGCCTGGTGGAGGGGGCAGGAGAGGGGGCCGTTCCGGGCCCTGTGGTTCTGGAGCGACGGCCCCATCCTGTCCCGTCCGGACCAGGCCAAGCTCCCCTCCTGCCCTCCGGACACCCAGAGGCCAGCACCCCTGGCCCGTTCCCCCAACCCCTCGGCTTTCACACCAACTTCCGGCCTCGGACGGACTGCCCGGAGGCAGCGGCACAGCCCGGCCAGCCGCTCCCTGAAACCACGACTCCAGCCACGTACAATGGGAACCTGGGCCCGATCCAGTCTTTAAGATGCATCTTTCTGGGACAAGACGGACAAAACCAGCAGCACCGTCACCTCCGGGAAACCGATCCGGAAACTACGGTCTGATCCGGCCGCACATCCTCACCGCTGTCCCCAGGCCGGCAGCTGCGTGGGGGCCAGGGCAGGGGGTCCTCGAATGGCAGTGAGGACGCCACCAGCCACCCCCAGGAAACGAACAACGGTGCAACGTGTCTGATACCCGAAAATCAAGTCAACCAACCTACGGACGGAAACTCAGTCTGTGGAGATGCGGACCCGGCTTGGACCCTGCTCAACGCTGGTGACAGGACATCCCTACTTGGGGAAAAAAGCGCTTCAAATTCCATCGGTTTAGCACTCAGGCTGCATCGAACACATCAACTAAGGGCTGTTTCCGACTTCTCCAGGTAGCGTAAATATCCCACGTGAAGTCGTTTCTTTCCTATTTGAGCAACACGGTGCCAGGAACCAGTGCCACACGTCCGCATCAGGGACGGTCCTCGCTGTGAGAACGCAGAAGTCCACTTCCTTGGGCAAAGCCTCTCTCCGGGGCTTCAAACAGCTAGCGCTCCGTCTCCGGAGCTGCCTGGGCGGTGTGACCCCCCTCGGCCTCGGGGATGAACAAGGACGCTGCCAGAGCAGATGCCCGTGGGCAGCACTGGGGAGGGGACCCGAGCGGTGCCCCAAGCCCCGGCAGCCGCCTCCCCCCACACCAGCAGGCGGAGGAGACCTCGACTGTCACCCGGAACCTGCACCACGGCCCTGCTCCGTCCCCTCTACCGAGGCCCCGGGGCAGGGCCTGCTTCGCGGGACGGCTCCCTCCACAGACGGTGACTCGGAGCCAGCCAAAAAGAAGGATTTCACAGAGATCTGCGCCAGGCAGAGGGCGGGCTGAGGGCAGGCGAGCCCAGCTGGTGCCCAGGAGGGAGCGTGGGCTGTCTGGAAAGCCAGGCCCTTCGCTGCTTGAAACGCCGTGCACGGAAGGGCCAGCGCTGTTCCAGAGTTGAGGCGAGGCCGCTTGCCCGCAGGGAAGGTGTGTGGGTTTTCTACAGGCCGCTTCTGAGCGTGGGACGCACTTGCTTTTCTAGGAAAGGCCCCTTTTCACTACCCTCGTGCCCCCGGAGCAGCCACACTGTGGCCCGGGAGTGCGCGAAGCACAGTGTGGCTGCTCGGCGGAGGCCCTCAGCCGCACCAGGTGCAGGAGGAGCGAGACAGGGAGGCGCCTGGGATGGGGTCCCGAGGGCGCGAGCCAATGACCAACCCAGCTGACACGTGAAGTAAACAGGGCCTGGAAAACATCCAGCCGGTTCACCTGGGGGCGCACAGACCACGCGAGCCGGGGACAGGCGCAGCCACGTGCCACGGCACGGAAGACAGTTGTAAACAGGACAAACCCCACCGCGAGTGGAAAGGAGAAAGTGCGGTGTGGCCCTGGATGTCTGCCCGGCAGATCTCCAGAGACCACGGGCGTTACATTCGGGCTTTTAAAGGAGCAGAGACGTCTCTGCGGTCACCCTTTGGCACACTTTGGTTGTGAAGGCAAGAGCAGCATCGTGGGGGGTGGGGACGGGGGACTCAGGTGTCCTCCTCATCGCTGACCAGCTCACCCTTATCAGGGCTGGCATCCCGTTCACGCAGGAAGTCCTCCCGGATGGCCTCCAGCTCCGTCAGCTCCAGCCGGACCTTCTCCAGGTGGTAGGCGCGCCGGTTCCGGATCTGGCGCAGGGGGAACGGGTTGAGGTCCCCAAAGGAGATACCGATCAGTTTCCTGGAAGGACACAGGACAGGCACAGAGCGTCAGCAGGGCAGGACACGGGATGGGACCCCAGCAGGTGTATCACCTGGAGGCCAGCCCTTCTCACGCACAGGCTACGGGGCTGGCCCGGAGCCACGGCCTGGACTCAGACACACGCTCGCTCTGTCGTGGGGCAGGTGACGCCCCTTCCCTTTCTGGTTTCTGATTCGTCGTCGATAGGCTGGGATAAGTTAGTGACCTTCCTGAGGTCTGGGGTCACCAGAGATGCCACCACAACGCGCACACAAGGACAGCGCCTGGCACTTGCCTGTGACTGCAGGGCCGGCGAGCCTGAGCCTTCGGGACCAGCAGAAGGATGGCCCGGCGGGCTGTCCCGGGCCTGACCGGGGAGCAGCGGATACCCAGGCCCACCTGACCGGCACCGTCATACCCAGGAGCCACACAACGAGGCTCGAACACGTCTGCAGACAGATGTGCACTCTATGGGTTTCCTACTATCCTGGGATCAAGGCACTGAGTTACAGTAAACGGTTTAAAATCACAGAAATGGGGCTGTAGCTGCTGGCCAGCGGTTTAGTAAGATCAGAATGAGAAGGTGCCCCAGGGCCTGGGGCCGGGTGCAGCCCCCGATTCATCCAGCCCAGGGGCTTCTCTTCCCAGCCACAGGGCCCTGGCGCACCTCCAGACCCAGGAGAGGCTGTGAGGACAGAGCCAGCGGCCACAGGTGGCCTGCCACCATCCAGCCACGTGGGCTGCCTTGATGTAAGTTTATTCTAGAAGGTGTAACGTTAAGGGAGGGTGTAGCCTTTGGCATTTCTCCCTACTGAATTTCCAAACACCTACTCCTTAGCCGGACTCCGGAGGACTCCCTGCGTGAGGTCAAAGGTCAGGAAGGCCACCTTCAAATGCCAAGCTTCCCAGACTGTTCTAGAACACAGGCACGTGGGAGAACAGGACAGGCCTGCACAGAGCCGTGCCTCCTACTGGGCTCCACCGGCCGGGGCCGCGGGGGTCTGTGAACGGAAATGTGAGCCCAGACCCGGGACCCAGGGCCACACGACCAGCCCCTTTTCCTACAGCCACGAGTCGCAGACTCCACGCACCTGAGAGCTGGCCTCCAGCCCCCTCTATGGGAGGCAAACAACACTAGGTTATTTTCACAGAGCCTCTGGTGGGACCGTGCTGCCAGGGCCTGGTGGCCCAGCGGGCAGGGCAGAACACTCCGCTCTGCGGCCCGGTCAGCAGATGAGAGATATCCCATGGTCAGCCCAGGCTGAAGGCCCCAGGGGCCCCGACTCGAGACTGGTTCAATCCGTTGACCCGCTGTCTCCTGGGCACACGGGACTCACCACCCGCGCCCTCCTTTCTTATGGAGCCGCTCGGTTATGTGGAATTGCTCCCCTGGACCCACCAGCCTGGGGAGCTGAGTGAAACACCGGGTCGCCACCCAGCCACGGGGCCCGAGTTCCTGAGGCCAACGGCCGGGCGGCTGTGCCCGAGGCCGCTCACGAGGTGGCGCTGCAGAGCTTGCGGGAGGCGCTGCCGGGGGGTGGGGGGGGGGGGGCACATCCTGCAGCCTGGGCCTGAAGGGAGGTAAGGGGACCCTGACCTGATGGAAGGGTAGCGCATGCTCTCGGCCTGCTCTGTCTCAGGCTTTGCTCCCCGGCTTTTCATTTGGCGAAACCGAGGCCACTATCGCCGATACGTCAAGCTGCCTGAAAATCCTTACAAACCGCGATGGCTTCTGGGCTGTCGGGCGTGGCCTCAGCCATCAGCCCCTTTGCTCGCAGCGTCCCCTCCCCGGGACCTGGGCCCAGCCCCTGCCCCAGAGCCCTCCTGCGGCCGGGTTCCCCCAGCGCCGCTGTCCTGAGGGCCTGCGGCTTCTCGCGGGGCCAGCCAAGAAGAGGGGCACCTGCCAGCTTATTGGGGGGCCCTGCGGGCTTTCAAGCAGGTTGTGACACATCAGTGGATGAGAAACCCACGTGGTGAATCATGACAAGCATTTTGTAACAGGAAGGTAGAAACCTCAACATCTAACACAGACCTTTAGCAAGAACCACAAACATTTCAACAAACCGTTTCACTTCTATACGCTCTGGCACGGGCAGTTCACATTCTGATACGAAATGGTCTTATGAGCTACAGTCCAAAAAGTCTGAGGGGCGCCTGGGGGGCTCAGTCGGCTAAGCGTCCAACTTTGGCTCAGGTCACGATCTGGCAGTCTGTGAGTTCGAGCCCTGCATCGGGCTCTGCGCTGACACCGCGGAGCCTGCTTCGGACCCTCTCTCTCTCTCTCTCTCTCTCTCTCTCTTCCTCTGCCCCTCCCCCTGCTTATATTCTTTCTCTGAGAGATAATTTAAAAAATAGTCTGAAAACGTGTATGTGAGCCACAGACACTTCTCTGCGGAAAGACTCATGGCTTCCTCACGGGTAGACAAGCCTGACGTGGAACACCGTCATGTGCAGGGAAAGGCGGCCCTGTACCACACGGGCAGCAGTGAACCGTACCCCGCCTTGGCCGTGGGAGCCCCGGCGAGTCCCCAGGGCAGCCGCCAAACGCGGTCGGGGGCACACGCACAACACGGACACGATCCGCCGAGGCCTGGTGCCCGGGCCAGATGCCCAGGGTTCCCCAAGCTCCACTTCCTGTCCCATGCTCTAGTCTACCCCCTCCGCCCCCCCGCCCCCCTTCCCCAGGCCCCGGGTCTCCTCTCCGATGCCAGCCCTCCTGTCTTCCCGACACTGGGGGATGAAGCCCGTCCTGCTCTGCCACGGCCCCAGACACGCTGCCTCTCGCCTCCACTCCTCGGGATCCCTTTGCCCAGGACACCCTCTCCTTGGGGTCCCCCCGGCCCCGCTCACCCCCACCTTTCCCCTGCACTTGTCCCATCTGGGCTCCCCCCACGGCAGCCCTGAGCCTGTCACGCCAGTGGTCTCCCCTAGGTTGTTCACGGGAGATGTCCGTCCTTGGTCACCGTGCCCCCCGTGCCCCGGACGCTCAGTAAAGGCTTGCTGGACAAATAAAAATGCTGCTTTGCTGCTGGGACTGATGTTCCTTGGAGAAAAAAATAAACTGTCCTCCTCTATCCTCCCCCCGCCCCTCCCCATCACGGGAGGCCACCTGGTGTCCCCAGCCTGTCCCCACCCTTTCCTCGGGAAGCAGGGACCAGCGCTCCCGCTCTCGCCACGCCCCCCCGCCCCCAAGGACGCACCTGGCGTCGAGGACAGTGCGCGTGAAGTGACGGAGATACTTGAAAATGGACATGGAGTCCTGCAACCTCAGGATCTCCTCCTCCTTGTATTTAAAAAGAGCCAGGGCAAAGCGGAAAATGACCTGTGGGCGGGACAGAGACACCTGTGAGCAGAGGCACACCTCGGCCCGGCACGGCTGCTTCCTGTGACCCGGCCCCACGGTGGCCCCTCACGCACCCGGGCAGCTGGCCACCGCCGTGCTGCCCAGAAACCCGGCGAGCAGACCCACCTTTGGTCCCTCATAGAGGAAGGAGTCCCAGATCTTAAAGAGGACGTCACTCACGACGCTGTCCACAAACACCACCAGAAACCAGTTGAACGTGATGAGGGTGTAGTCGACTTTGTGCTGTTCCAGGTGGCTGTGCAGACGGGGTAGCTTCTCGCTCAGGAGGTCTCTGAACACCCGCTGGTCCACCTGGGGAGGGGGGCGGAGGCGGAGGCGTGGGTGCGCTCGGGCACGCCACCTGAGCCGCGCACGAGGGACCTCACGCACCGCAGGCGCGCCCACCCCGGGGCCTGAAACCCACTCGTGTGCCCCAAACACCCAAGAACACAGGCCGCTATGATCCGCTACTGAGCCGGGGGGAAGAGTCGGCCTGGCCGCTGCACGCGAGATCTGGGGTATATGGGTCACAACCGAGTCCCAGGCCCAAGAGTTAATGTGACAGCAGCACGGCCGTCCCACAGAGGTCACGGGGCCCGAAGCACTGCCTGCACCTCCCAGCCGCTGCCGCCCCAGGACACCTGCACGGACTGCTCCGGGCACGCGAGGGCGCCATGTGATGCAGCCGGTGCGTGCTCCCCTAGAGGGGTCTCCCCAGAAGCCTCGCCCCTCTCAGTGGGCAGGGTCAGCACCACCCGCTAAAGACAGCGCCTGCGCATTTGAACGTCGGCCTAGGGACAGCACGCGCCTGAGGCCGGGGCTCAGGCCAGTGCTGGCCACCTTCAGGGGCTGAAGGTGGGCAAGGGAGGACAGCAGACTGTGGGACGTGACCCCGGGATGAGTGACCACCGGACAAGTGCCCACATAACAAGTGACTGTGGGACGACTGACCCCAGGACGAGTGTCTGCGGGATGAGTGACCACGGAACGAGTGACCATGGGATGAGTGCGGGACAAGTGCCCCCAGAATGAGTGTCTGTGGGACAAGTGCCCACGGGATCAGTGGCCCTGGGACGAGTGACCACGGGACAAGTGACCCCAGAATGAATGACCGTGGGACGAGTGACCATGGAACAAGTGACCACGGAAAGAGTGACCGTGTAACGAGTGACCACGGGATGAGAGGACAAGTGCCCCCAGAACGAGTGTCTGCGGGACAAGTGCCCCCAGGACGAGTGACCACAGGACAAGTGACCATGGAACGAGTGACCGCGGGATAAGTGACCCTGGGATGAGTGACCACGGCACAAGTGACCCCAGAATGAGTGACTGAGGAACAAGTGACCACAGAATGAGTGACCACGGGATGAGTGAAGGGCAAGTGCCCCCAGAACGAGTAACCGTGGGATGAGTGACAGGAACAGACTCCTTCTGCCAGGAGGGGTAGGACTGGGCTGAAGAGGAGGGGCGAGAAGCCACCCCCACAGCGCGAGAGGCGCCCTGTATCCGTCGGGCGGCAGGCGGCACCTCGTGCTGGAGGCTGTCCAGGCGCAGAGGGCCGGGTGCGGAGCAGCCGGCAGCAAGCACCGCTCGACCTGTGTTCAGCTCCAGCCCCGCCGGCTCAGGAGGTGGCAGGGCGCGCGGGGGGGGGGGGGGGGGCCGCGCGGGGGGACCCCGGGGGACACCGGGGGACGGGGTCCTCGGCACCGGCCGGGTCCTGGTGCACAGCAGATGGAACGATGGAGAAGGCGCGAGCAGCCGGCAGGGATTTGGGAAGCAGGGTGCCGTGGGGGCAGAGGGGCACACAAGCTGTCCCCGCTTCAGGGCGGCCCACGCGGTGCCCCCTGTAGGACACATACAGTCCACGCACTGCCCCGACGGGACGCGGCAGCCACCGAACGGGGCGACTCGCCGGAGCCGTGACGCGAAGCAGCCAGGACACCTCACGCCCCCAACGTCCATACCTAAGGGGAGGTGGGGGAGGAGCAAAAAGGGAGCACATCAAAATGCCAACCGTGGTCTCCCTGGTAGAGTAACGCGGTCTTCATCCTCCTCTTACCGTCTTTCTGTGTCACCTGCTTGCTCCTCGGGAGCTTCTGCGACTTTCTCAGTTGGGGAGAGAGTCTCTTCAGTTTACGATTCCCTTTCCGTGGCAACACGAGGCACAGTTCATCTCAAATCCACATACTTAAGATAGGTTTTTCCCTTCTGCCTGTTGTAACTGCGAGTTTTTTAATTCTGAACATCATGACAGACCCTTAAAGCATCGTCTGAATCTGACGTCAAGCACTCCACAGGAGGGGAGTCTGACGCTCATCTTACAGATGTGGAAACTGGGGCACGGGGCCGCCGGCAACGTGGCCACGCCCCCACAGGGGGGCGGGCCTGGCTCAAGGGAAGGAAGACAAAGGCTCCTTCCTGACGCTGGAGTCAGTTTCGGAGTAAGACCTTCTTGTTCTGAAACACAGTCATCTGAGATTTTGAGTCTCTGAAGCTACCGGCTCCCAGGCGTCTGTGATACACAGAACATTATTTACTGGCTCCCTCACTCCCACAAAACAGTGACTGCTGCCTGTTAACTGCTCACTTCCTAGTTTATACACTGGCGAAACTAGCCTCTCAGTCGCTTAGCAAACTGAAGCGGTCACCGGAGGACCAGATGACTCTCCTGGGATCACTGGGCCCAGAGCCCAGGCCCTGCTCTCCTCCCCGGCCTTCCAGGAGGAGTGGACAGAGGACCAGACCCCAGCCTGGGCCTTGGTGGTAGCTCCTCAGGCAAGGTACTTAGCGTCTCTGAGCTCCGCTTGTCTCCCAAGGAGGAGGGGGACCGTGATGCCTGCATCCGGATGGTTTTGTGCAGACGCGAGGGGGGCTCGCTAAGTGCCCCCGGCCGGAGAGCTCGCTCACACACGCTCCGCGCCCACCGTGCCGCGTGCCCGCGATATTGAAATGAACGTCAGGGCTGCTGACCGGCTACAGGACCAGCAGGCACATGGGGAGGGTCCCGTCAGACGAGCGCTGTCCCCGAGGCCCCGGACCAGAGCAGCGGGCGGCCCCAGAGGGGCAGGAAGCAGCACCGAGGAAGCGGTGCTCAGCGCTCAGAGCGGGTGCTCTCCAGGACGCAGGCAGGGCAACGGTGACCTAGGGAGTCACGTCTTCACCCGAGGTCAGGGCATGACTGGTAAGCAGCTGTTCCGTCACAAGAGGGCACGGCTGACCCCAAGAGGGGCACCCTGACAAGGGTCAGGGGTCAAGGGGGAGCAGGGATGAGAGCCACCAGGCAGGTGGCAATGACCAGAAGCTAACCGCAGGGATGCAGGGGGCGAGAAATGAGGGGGAGTCCAGGCTGGTGGGCTAGCGGGCGCAGAGGGCAGGCAGCGACAGAGGCCACGATGGACCCGGTCTGAAGGCAGATGTGCAAATCTAAAGCAAAACTCAGGCAGGGGCCAGCCAGGCGGACAGAACCTACTCCCAGTATTTACAACCGAGACCCTGAGGGATTTTACCCAGGAAAGTCACACAGTGACAGAGAAGCTGAGAAGCCAGGCGGCTGCTGGTGGCCCAGAGGCAAGGGCAGGAAGTCACCCCCAGACTGGAACAGGGAGGTCCCTCCCGCACGGGGGCGGGGATGGGGGGACAGGAGACAGGAGTGGGCACCGCGGAGTCAGACCCACTGACGGGCAGTGCCCGTGATGAGCGGGGAGAGAACTACCGTCAGTCCTCTCCTGCCACCCGCCTGTCCCCCGCCGGTGCCTCTGCTGGCCTCCGCAGGGCCGTGAAGCTCAGGCCTACGAGCAGGACTGCTAGTTGGGGAGCAGGGACAGTGGCCCCGGCCCGGCCCAGGGGAGGGGCCCCGGGCTGCTCTGGAGCCAGAACTGCCCCCCCCCCCCCCCCCGAGGAGACAAGCCTGGGCTCTCCCGCCCCTTCGCCCTCGGGCGCCGGGTGTTGTGGGCATGTCTCCCGCCAGGGGGGTGACTGCCAGCCCCGCTGCCTGCTCCCAGGAAGGAAGTGACCACGGCAGAGCCCCGACGCAGCCTGTCGGCATGAGACACAGGTCTGTCACAGGGGTCCCTGCTGGCCTGGCCGAGACTTCCTGAGAACCACACGGCCATCTGGGACCCACCCCACTCGAGCCACCTTCCTGTCCCTGGTCTGGGGGCTCCCCCGCCTCCCTGCTCCCTCCCTGGTCCTTCACAGGTGCCCCCCCTCAGAAATCTCTGGCCTGCCTACTCCTGTCCCCGGGCTCCCCAGGAAGGCTGCACTGGGGAGAGCGCACGGCTATGGGGGGGGGGG